TATTGATTGTACGTCGGATAAAAATTAGGGTACATCCAATGCTGTCCCCTATATAAACCGTAATAGTTCTGTGCGTGCAATGTCATCAGATTTAGATGAACACTCGAAAGCAATGCAGTCATGGAATTTACTTAATAAACAAGAAATGAAGAGGAAAAGCTAACCATGTTATTGTACATAGCATCTTGAGAGTAGTATCCGGTGTACCTATATCATTATAAATGCAAAGGTTATATCAGGTGGGCAAGATAAAAACTTTCAACTGCTGACGCCACAAACATATCCACTGGGGGAAGGAGATCAGTTTCAACGGTTATCTAGAGATCAATAAGTATAGCTACAAAATATTTAAGTACCCATAGGCCGAGTAAGGATGAGGAGTCGAATGATGGAAATACGTCGACGAAGAGCCTTGAAAAAAGGGTTGTGTCATGAATCCAGATGTTGCTCTAAGTCTACCCATCCCTGTAAAATCGAAGACAGATTAAGGATTAGAAATAAAATGTATCTACTGTTGAAATTACGAGATATTTCTATAGGTGTGAATTGGAAAAGTCTCCAATTGGTGCGAAATTTATCCGACATCTACGAGTCCTAAGAGAGAAACAAGGACCATGGTGAGGAACGGGGGGACGATTCTTGTTGGCACCAAGTGATGCAAGATTGCAATTTGCTGTCCTTCCATCAATTACAGGAGAAGGGTTGTGACAAGCCCTCATGGCTGAATCTGGATCCTTAAACGTAACCTACAAAAACACAGTTACAAACAAAATGCTTATGAATCTTGAAATAATTATCGAAAATCTAAGTAAAAATGGTTTCATACAAAACCGTAGCCTTTAGATCTTCCAGTATTTTTATCAGTAATAACAACAGCTTCAAGAATTTCTCCAAACTGCTCAAAGTAAAGTTTCATTGTGTCTCTCTGAGTTTTCCAAGCCAACCCACCAACAAAGATTTTCGTATAGGTGGAGTCACTGAACTGTACGTTGTTTCGAAGTGGCCTTGTTTGAGACATGTCGATGCGGAACCCAGAAACTGATAAGAGATTTGAATATGAGAAAGAACAAAATCAAGTCAATGTGATGCTATACTAATCTGGTGATATAATGGGTGGTTCTGTTCTGTTAAGGAAAAATGCCTCAGATTCTCCTGAATAAGGATACCCTTAACGAGAAAATCATCATTACTGTTTGAGGTGGAAAGGTTTAAAGAAGGGAAAAAGATAGATATACCCAAACTGAAACTGACATTTTATTGATACAAGAAAAGGCAGTAGAGACGACAAAAAGCTGAACACCCACGACAGCAATAGCACAAAGAAATTTCTTTTAATCAGCATGGATTTTCCAACTGGAAAAATGATGAACAAAGTGCAATACATATTTGAATAGGACATGATCATAAAAAAAATGTCAACAGTCAACTAAAGTGTGACAAGGGCGAATTCAGGTCGGACTAAAAAATTTAAGCCAAGTTTAAAAATATATATATATTTCACATATAAAAAAAAAATGTTAAAAAATTCCCTAAAAAATTTGAAATGGGCTTGGGGGACTGGGTTGAAGCCCAGCCCAATTCCCTAGATCTGCCACTGCATATGATGAAAATTACTTAGGCTCCGTTTGGCCCCCCATTTTTTTGAAATAAAAATAAGTGGAATAGTATTTTTTTTAAAAATGAATGGTTGAAAAAGAAAGAAAATATTTCATTTTATTTTATGAAAGATTGTGTGATTGAAAATGAAATAGAAAAAGATGAAATGTAATGTAATGTAATGAGACAAAACAAGGCTTTAGTTGACAATTAACATTAATACCTAGCAACAAGAGTCATGACTATTGAAAGACGAAAATAGTATCGTAATCTTAAATTACTTTGTTAATTTTTATTAATTTTAACATGATTGTTTGAAGTAATATTTTTATTTTTCCTATTTTATTAGTTTATTTCACAATTTATCAGTATTTAAATTTATTAACATAATTTTTTATTGCCTACAAAAACTCCATTATTATTTTTAATTATTATATTGTTACGTATTGACATTTCTGTCAATAATATTCATTATACTTTAGTTCACTAACAAAATTTGTCTATAAACTAATTTTTTTTTTTTTTAAAGATATAAATCTGACTAGGAGATTTCTCCGGAAATTTATTTGGGATGAAATTTTTAAAAAATTGGGACTTCTAACTATATATGGGATCTTGGGCAATCGTCTAATGTGCCTAGATGTTGAGCAAGTTCTGTTGCCAATTAAATAAGAATAATTCTATTTGTACCGAATTATTCTACCGAAAATTGCCCCCTCACAATGCACGCGAGCCCTGCGTGAATATAAAAATTCCCAAACGTGATCCCTATTTTCTATTGTGAATAGAAGGTAAATAATTAGATTAAAAAAATTATGTATATATAGCATTATCTATTAAATAATTTCATAAGATACAAAATTATCAAAATTCGAAACTCAATGATCCAATCAAAACAAACTAAAATTTTAATATTTTGATTATACTTTTGATAATTGTTTAGTGGGCGCATAGTGTCAATGTGTTGTAGGATTTGATTCTTCCGTTTCTATTCTATTAATAGAAAAAACTACCGGCCAACAATGTTATATCTGTGGGCCAAAAATTAGTCTGTGGAAACATAATATATGCAAAAATATAAGTGGTTCTCACTTCTCATGGGATGCAATATGTGCAACCTACCTAACAAATAAAGAAAAGAAATTCATACGAGAAAAAGTGAATCATATTCAATTGATTCAATGGTGCCCATATACCACACTATCACCTACTTTGAGTCTCATTCTTGTCAAAAAATACATTTTTAAATAGTATATTAATAAAAATTGTGTGGTTTATAATAAATAAAAATTTTAGATTTGTATGCAATATTATTTTATTGAAAAATGTATGGTTGAAGTGAGATCAAATCACTTTTGAAAAATGTATTTTAATGAAAAAATGAGGCTCAAACAAGGGCTTAAGAAAGGGTAGGACTCAGCCAATTCAGGATTGTACTAAAAAAAAAAAAACTTTCAAATCGAGCTAACATATAGAAAAAAAGATTAAAATTATTTGAGGACTAGAGTGAATTGTCCTCCCTACATCCGCCCTTGGACTTGTATATATTTTGATTCAATAAAGTTAAGTGGCACTATTCTAAGCCCCTATATAGTCTTGGTTTAAATCAAATTTTAATCTGAGTTAAAGTTAAACAATCAATATTAACCACACATTTCATAGGTTCGACAACTTTTCAGTCACACATTTCAAAAACATTTATTAAAATCTACTAAAAATCTAATTTTAATCCCCCACCAAACAGGAGCTAAATATAAGAGTCCATTTGCACAAAAAATAGTACTAAACAGTAGTGATTTAAAAATGAGTAATGCTATTTATAATCGCTTACTGTGGTAGTCACCCTCGTGACATCCTATATGGTGGTTTGTGATTTGATGTATTAATTTATTAGTTTTTTCTTGCCACATATATCAAATCACTAATCACCATATGCATGCTAAATAAGATGACTGCGGTAATGAGTGACTGCAAATAATATTATCCATTCAAAATAGCTCTGCAAAATTAAAATGAACTTATAAATGTAGGGGGCAATTTAAAGTGAGAAAGATTCATATGATGAGTTTTCTCAATTAAAGACATCAGATCAATAATTTTCGACACACGGTTTATACCTCTACCTGGATGGGTTTCAAGTTTCGTTCTCTAATGTAACAAAAACGAGAAATTAAAAACTATGGGCGCTGGAGAGGATAATGTTGGACGGTGCCATATTTCTGGTGTCAATTAATTGGTTTAATTTGTGGTGCAGTCAAGATCTAGTCAATTATCAGAGGGCAGTGTGATATTTTTAATTTTTACGAAATTAATGGATAAAATTCTTTAATAAATTAATTTATTTCTGTAAGTGCGTGCAATGATGCACCTCTGTTTTCAACTGTCAAGCAGATCGGTCAAACTTGTCGTTTTATTAATTTCTTAAATTAGCATAACATAAAACTATTATATGATTTTATTTTTAACTTGACTCCTGGTCTGTCGTTATGCTTGGCTTGATTGGCCAATAAGAGCGAGCAGAATTAAATTGTTTTATGGATAATTGGCACAAAACGTCCATACTTTTAATGTTATTGTACGTCTCTAACTTTTATTTTTTGATATTTTCACCCTACCTTCCACCTTTCATTGTGCAAAATGTCAATTTCATCGATTTTTGACGATTTTACCCTTTTATTTAAATAAAACAAAAACAAAAGAAAAGAAAAAAATGTGAACTAATTGCAATCAAAGTCCCAAATTTTCAAGAAATTACAAATGAGTTAAAAATATTATTAAAAATCAATTCGTTCATTGTTTTTTCTTTTCTTTTATTTTTGTTTTATTTAAATAGAAGGGTAAAATTGTAAAAAATGAATGAAAATGATATTTTGAGCAATAAAAGGTGGAAGGTAGGGGTAAAAATGTCAAAAAATGAAAAGTAAAGATGTTTTGTACAATAACATTAAAAGGTATAGATGTTTTGTGCCAATTACCCCTGATTTTATCTTGTTTGGTTCATACTAATCAATAAGAATTTTGCCATTTATTTGTACAAGCCTCTATTTGTTGTGAATTTAAATTATATTTTTAATAAATTTTGATAAAAATTGATAAATTATATAGTTGAAAAGTTGAGGGTTATGAAATGTATTGTTAAAATTAATTGTTGACTCTTATTTAAATTTTTTTATCAAATTTGATTCTGTATCAAATATGGACTAATTTTATTTTTGAACACTTAAGAAGCATTACGGCCAAGTAGGTAGCACGAAATTCAGATTTATATGAGTTTCTGCTATGGAAATGTCTCTTTTTCAAAAAGATCGAATGCATTAACTTTTATTGGCATTTGGAGTGATTACCATACCGTGCACAATCAAGACAATTATATTACCATTTTTGGGGTACTAAGGCTCTGTTGGAATTGCTTTTGGAGCCCCAACTTCTACTTCTCGTAAAAGCCACATAGGGGTTGACACAGAAAACTCCATTGTGCCTGAACTGGTGACTAGACCGAGAAGGAAGAATTTACAGGTTTGTAGCAATCATTGATGAAACTTGACGACGGCTGAAAAGTTTTGAGTTTGGAAGATGAAGGAGAGTGGATTGGACCTTTTCTTAATTGTGGGCTTTTCTTTTGGAGTCTTGGACCTCTTGTTTTAGAAAAATTAATGGGATAATTAGGCCCAACACGGCCTATTAATTAGTAAATTGATTTATACTCTTTCAACTTTTAACTGTATAATATACGTTCATCAATACAAATGACCAAATCGTTGATTGTGGGGGTGAGAGAGCCTGAGGCTGTCAAACTTGGCTAGTTGGCTGTATAGGGAGGCGGCGTACGAACGGATGACCTGGGTGAGGGAACTTTAGGAAGTGGATTTGTTAAGTTGAAGAAAAATAGGGTTTTAGATTGGGGATTGAGTCAAAACTCTTTGGAGAAAAAAGCTAGGGATTCTGAGGACTCGAATTCAGAATGCGAGGGTGAAAATGAGTTGTAGAGAAAAATGATCCTATTGTAATTGATATTTTGTCCGATTTGTAAAGTGAGGAACTTGATGAAAAAACAAAGAGAGCAAACATGGCCGTGGATTTACCCATGAAGAAAAGCATTGTTGGAAAAGGTGACATGCCGAAAAATGGTGATTTGCAAAATGATGGCTTTGTTGAGATGGTTGTTGAGATAAAAATAAAAAATAAAAAAAGGAAAAAAATTGCAAACCTGGAAAAGTTAGTGAATCCAATGATGTTAAGGTCAACAGAGGTGACAAACTCGTAAAAATGGCGACAAGAGATACGTATTTCAGTGATGAAGGTGAGCAAATGAGATTGTTATGCTTCCTCTCTCCACGCTTTTGAAATATATGTATGTGTGATATGCTCTCTCTTTGACAGTTTGCAGGCAGATTTGAGTTCTCGTCTGGGGCACTTGCAGAGCTCCTTTCAACTATCAAGGGGGAGATGACAATGAATTTGGGCTTGTTACTCACAATCTAAGTGGCAATGATCGCATAATAATCATTTTTCAAGTTGAGAAGTTTTCAATCTTTTATTAATCTTGCACTGCTTATTGCTTAATATGGAGGAAGGCTCTGGTTCTAGTAGCAGCACTGAGCAAACCATCTTGGGCAAGGATTATTTCCATGGCAAATAGAGCCCTTCTCCAAGCTTTGACTGAATATTGTTTTCTTGGATAGTTTTCTATCAACTAAAGGTTATCTGTGGTCAGACCGTGTAAATGAATTTGTTTAGCCATATCTACTTTTTGTTACCACATGGTGAGGTCTTGGACGAGAGGATTATAGTGTTTCAACCTCCTTCTAACCTGATTTATATCAGTCCAAATGTCGATTGTGCTGTTTTTGGTGGCTTGAGGAGGGATCGAGATTTTAGTGGGAAGAATTTAGTAGAATTTGAAGATGGTTTGATTTTTGGATCAATTGATCATGTCAATTTCATGTCTAGGTTTGCAAGTTTTATGTCCCGGGTTGATGAATCCTTAGCTTTTTACTGATTGATATAGTCGTGACTTGTAATTTATCTATTTATCAATTTTTGCAATAAATATACGGGAAGAATAAAAATGTCTTAATTTACGTCACTTTTTTTTAGTGTTTCTCACTTTTTGTTGAATTTGTGTAGCCTTTTTTTTTTTGGTCGCTTTTATAAATTCGTCACTTTTTAAAATCTATGGCTTTTTTTTTTTTTAATTTTTGCTACTTTTAAAATTTTTGTCATTTTTTTTGGCATTTGTTACTTTTTTTAATTTTTGTCACTTTTTTTTTAACGTTTGTCACTTTTTTTTATCAATCACATTCTTGAAATTTTTATCATTTTTGTTTGACAAATATCATTTTTTTTAATAAAAGTGACATTGTATGTCATTTTTTAATAAAAAAGTGATACTAAACTTTAAAAGTGACATTGTGTCACTTTTTTAAGAAGATAAAAAGTGACAATATGTTATATTTTTCTGACATAATTAGTATGATGATTGTCCTAGACATGTTTTGTTGTGTTTGTCACTTTTTTTGAGTTTGTATCACTTTTTGAATGTTTATGTCACTTTTTTTTTTTTTTTGTTTTTTTTCTTATCACTTTTTGAATGTTTATGTCACTTTTTTTTTTTTTTTAGTTTTTATCATTTTTGAGTGCTCGTGTTACTTTTTTTTTTATTTTTTTTTATTTTGTCACTTTTTTTGAGTTTGCGTCACTTTTTTTTTAAAAGTGACAATTTTTATAAAAAAGGTGACATTGTGTCACTTTTTTATTTTACACAGTATTTTTTACTTAAAAAAAACTTTTCATATGATTTTTCAAAACACTTCAAAATTTAAGGGTATTTTTGTAAGTTGCCCAAAATTAATTGGCCTAGGGCCTGGTTTAATGGTATATATTGTATTCTTTTACAATTGGCATTTCAAATAACAAAGCAAGGAAGCTGGAAGCCGACAAACCCCTTCTGCTGCGTCGCTCATTGCCAGCTTTCGTGTCGACTATCGACGACCAGGACCGTCACGTCGCCTCTCCGTGACTCATGAGCCTCTGGTGAGTTCAGTGGCTCCATTCTCTGTCTCTTCTTTTTTCTTGCTTTTTTTTTTTATTTTTATTTTTTAGACTTTAGTTCATTGATTTATCATTTATGAGTTATTATTTATGTTTTATGAGTTATGATTGTGATTGTTGATGTTTATGATTTATGCAAATTGAGAATTTTGTGAATTTGAGAATATGTGAGAATATGTGGTTGTGGACTGTGATTTATTTGTGATAAATAAAAAAGGATATATATTGGAAAATTTGTGATTGAAAAAAAAAATTAAGAAGTTGTCAAACCCTTTCATAAACTAATTTTGACAAAATTAAAAATAAAAAATCACTGTAGCTGTGCTCGCGCTAAACAAAATCTTTGGCTCCGCTTCTGATAATGATAGTAAATTTTAGAAATTGATTATGGAATATACCGATTTGAAAAGCAACAAAATGATAGCCTTTCACGTTCCATACTAAAATTTCAATTTTAACCCTCAACAGAAAAAAAAATGAATAATACTATTTGCAGTCGCTCTATGTGATATACATGTAACAATTAGTGATTTGTTACATAAGGTAATAAAAAATTACCACATTAATGTATCAAATCGCTAATCGTCATATGTATGTCACGTCACATAAGGTGATTACAATAGTGAGAGACTATAAATAGCATTACTCAAAAAAAAAAAAAAAAGATTATGTTATATCTTATATTTGTTGTAATTTG